CTTGGCTGATTGTTTGTAATAAAACCTTCAGTCTCCTAATAACCCTAAACCTGCTTAAATAACATAATTCAAACCCCTTAGCTAATTATTTTATTAATCTGTTGCAAATAGACTGATATAGCATAAACTAGGAATATGAACCAGATATTTTGTGAACATGCAAATTAAATCATAAATACAAGCCTCCTTTTGACATCTTAGAGACAAATGTCCAGCTAAAAGACGACAGACTAGAATCTAACCACAGTTCAACCCTTCCAGTCCTGTTTTGGTGGCCCGACCAGCTGAAGTTGCTGTACTGCTGGTTGAAAAAACTTCCTAGATAAGCCACAATTTACTTCTAGCAATGTCAAAAAGGGAGGTAAATTTTGTATTTTGCATCAGTTGTTCAACAGCATCAAGGATAGCATGTTCCTGTGCTTTCCACGTCTTGTGGCTGTTTGAAAATTATCCTGGTGGAATAATGATTATCTAATACGCTTAATGAGCTGAAAAGGCAGATTAATATGACATAAGACCGATTAGCTAGTTAACTTCTGCCACTCAGAGAATTTATTTACTTTGTCAAAAAGCTCCCCATCATATGAGCTTTTTTTCTACTAGAGGTAAGTATGTAATTACTGATAATAACATCACAGAACCTCATTTCACAAAATCTGAGTTTAATGATGCTGATGTGTTCTTATAACAAAATCAGACTTCTACATTTCCAGTTTAGAACATCGCCAAGAAAGCCGACTATCTTCAAACTGAATTCATGGCAAATATTTTCAAAAGAACACAAACATTTTGAAAATATTTCAAAATATTTTCAGAATATAGTAAAACTATATAGTATAGTTTTTAAATGTGGTACTTAGGATTAAGCTGTCTGATAGCTATAAGGATGATAACCTAGAACGAGTTTTTGATGACTGAATAATGGATTGTCAAATTTATTATAGATAGTGGGAATGTCTGCTGAAGCACATATATATATGATTACTTTATTAATTGTGTAAAAATTCAGTAGGCGATAGCTGCAGTGCTACATAAAGATGCCTGGAAATTTCCCCGGTCTAATTAAAACTTTGCTGACCAACTTTTCATTAAGTCTTTAATTTACAAGATGAGATCTTTGTAAAATGAAGTTTATGTGTTGGATAATTCAGGCAACAGAACTGACATTAAATTATTGGAAGATAAGAACTTGATAGTGTGTACAAGTTAAATTAATATTACAGTTTTTATTTTTACACATGCAAAAATCTCAATCCACAAAAAGTCTTCTCTGTTACATGATGGATGTTTACAGAAGATTTGTTGCTGTCATAAGTTAGATTTTTTTTTGAGTTTTAGTTGAAATTTGAAAACACAACAGCATCTTTCTGCGTCCCAGTTAACTCAGTGTTGGAGTGAAGGAGGATGCATAGAAACTGTGGGGGAAAAAATTCTTATTTTTTTGGTTGTGAAAAGTTAGGTTCATGATTACAACAAGGTAATCCTGTAAAATTCAAATTCCTGTAATCTTCAACTCATTTACTTAAAAAAATGTAGCATTTTTGTTGTATTTTTTCTTCTTTACAAAATGTTTGGTTCTGTTGTTATGAAGCAAAATATTCACAATCCTAAGAGTTTTTTTTATAAACATTAAGCTAAATTATTTAGATTTTTTTATGACCAGTATTTCTTCCTAAAGAATGTATCTATTTTACCAGTTAAATTCTAAAAGACAAAAATGAAAGTATGAAGGTTTTAGGTTTAGGTTGCTATGTACAGTTACTATCTCTGGTTTTCTGTAAGATATTCCTCATTTGTAGGACATACAGGGCCTTATTTTGTTTAAAGTTTCATAAACAATACCATTATCTAACAATTTTACAAAATAAGTGACTAGTTAGTTACTTTTCCAATCTGTTACTGTTAGATTGTTACCATATTTATCTGTTTCTTTTGTTGTCACTAAACAAAACAAACAAACAAAGAAACCCCTGATGTATTCACGCTGTTTGTTTCTCTCCTACTTCTTGGAAGGTAGCTGAGTGCTAGTGGAAGGTATCCAATCCCACGGCTCTGTCAGTGCATATGTGTGGCTGTGCTCGCGAGATGGTGAATAGAACAGCCTTTACTCTGTGAAAGTAAATGCATTATTCTAAATTCATTGGAAATACAGACAAAAACAGCATCTTAATAGACATACAGCTTGGTGGAAATATGAAGAAGCACTTTAAGACACAAAAGCTACACAATGGTTGCCAGTTCAAAGGGAGATGTCAACGCTACAGCTGGCATCTCCAAAACAATGGACACCCTTTAGTTCAGCTAAAGCTGTCAGTCCCGGGGAGATTGTGGAGTTTGTTTCCGGACACATGGTGGAGGAAATGCTACATCTGAAAGGAGGAATGCATCATATCATGGTTCTAAAATAAATAAACCCTCTCGTTACTCATCACTGATAAATAAAGTTAACTGCTGATCAATCAAGAGACTTATTTATGTTTTTCTCAGTATGGATTATTCCATACACAGTTTTTTTATGCAAGTTGTTGTTCAGAGTTGTAGATAGACTGTTAAAATTCATGCTTTTCAGGATGTGCTGCAAAGGAAAAAGAAGACTGCACTGACTGATCTTGGCCTATAATACTTAGAAATATTTTGACATTTCTGAAATAAACTTTTCCGTCTGCAAATATACTTTATAAATAATTTTCCAGTTATATAAAAAGAGCTTTAAGAAAAAAACAAAGTGTGTCTACATTTTCTTGAATCATCTTTAAACTCTTCAAAAGACTAATTGATTTCTTTAAACTTCAAATAGTTAATGTTTTCATTACGTAATCGCGACCACAGCCCTTTTTCAGAAGAATATCTGCTCTTTCATCTACTTTTTAAGAATTACATTTAAAACCAAATGAGAAAAAGTGTTTAGTGATTATGCTTCAAAGCTGGACCTGCCAAAAGCGCAGGACAGTGAAAATAGTTTAATTTTAGCAATGAGTTCACTTAAAAAGAACCACGTCTTTCAAATGTGATACACAGATTTGAGCACAGGACCAAGGAAATTGGAGGAAATTAACAAACATGCAACTCTTCACAGCAGATGCCCGGGGTTCTTTGCAATGAAACTACACAAGTTAAATTTGCAATGTTGTTATCCTGTAATTTGCAAAATGACAAAATGCTAGTCTGATGCACTAAGCACCTTCAATTGCAGCTCATTAACTCAGTCAGGGGGAACAATTTTACAGGCATGGAGAAAAACTATTAGTATACTTCTATTAAATGCAAGAATAAATATCCGGTTGAAGCACAATGTGTCTTCATTTTGGCCCAAATGTGATATATGCCGTTGCCATGGTAATGTGGCGATTGCTACAGCCCTCCTCCCAGCTGTTGGTGGGTTTTGTGTGCAGGAGGGCGAGGGTAGAAAGAAAGAGGGAGACTGTGTGTTTGTGTGCGTGCACACATGAATTGATGCCGCCTCCGTGCTGTGTTCCCCTTTCAGCCCTCAGAATAGTGTCTCTACTAATCCGTGAAAGTTGCGGCGCTCTGAACCAGTGGCCAAGGCTTTTCCCACTGAACCAAGGCCCGGGGTCCTCGCTCGACTTCACACTTGATTGGTCCCTCCTGCGGCAGACCTCTCCTCCCCACTAGGCGTGGGCCAGTCCCCCTCGCCGCTCTGCCCCGGCACTGCCGAGTCGCCTCTCCCCACCTTAATTACCAGTGCTTGAGTCGCGGACTCACCAACAAACCATTAAAGTCTGGCCAGCCTAACCTCACAAGCCCTCACACATCCAACACTTAGCACCTTCACGGTGCTGAAGATCAGCTCCACCAACTGAGCACCTGTTTGTGCCTGGGATGCCCCGCAACACTCTGGACTCGCCTGCTGTTGATGCAGGCCCATATAAAAAGCAGGAATTGGCAGCTGTGCTGTTGTCCTGCTTCTCCTGCAGGGAAGTGATGTGTTTATTTGACCTGCATTGAGAAGATGAGACGTGCCTATCTGCTTGTTCTGTTCTATGAAAAGAACTCAGAGTTCTTTGATAAATGACACCTTCAAACCTGCACTGAGCTCTGGGAATAACCTGAGTTGATGTGATAACAACTCAGAACTGACCCTGCACTTCCTTTTTCAAACTTTGTACATGTTTTCAGAAAGTGACATAAATGTGGAGCTGTGATCCTATTCCATAGTTTAAATTTAGAACCACAATGAGCCAATTTTCTATTTTGGTGTGCCTACTAAGTTTAAGACTGCTGCAGAAATAGTCAGACCATATGGGAGTGAGCAGGTGAAATGCAATGACCTGGCAAATGGTCCAGAAACTGATGAGAGTCGAGTACACGTCAGAAGGCACTGGGTGTGCTGGCACAAACTTTACCCAGGATGTGGATCAGACAAACACCCAGCACTCGTTAGTTTATTGCTCTCTTATTAGGAACATTTTTTGCCTTGCACGGATTGGCAGAGTCCCGCTAGCCACCCTCTTCACATGGCCCAGGCTCTGTCAGGACTGATCAAAAGACGTTTCTTCACATCTCCAGACGCCAGGGAAAAAGGAGAAGAAAAGAGGGAGAGAAGAAAAGAGCCAGAAGGGGGCATACTGCTCTCTCTTTACTCTGGTCTTTTGGTGAATGAGGACTTTTCACAATACCCTCTCCCTTCTCTTTTTTCTATTTTCATTCTTTCACTGGCAAAAAAAGAGAGAAAGAAATAGCATTTCCCAACGCGTTTTGCGCCAAATTGTTCTTGCCATATCAAAAACAATTATCCGCAGGTTAAGAATGTGCCTGCAGAATTACAACCGTTCCAGGGGGAGAAAGCAGTCTTCACAAATTTGACTGGCTTCCAGGCAGCCAAGACCCCCTCGAAGTGGTAATGAAAAGTGTAACTTTAGCCTCCCAGCTGTACGTCTCAATCCATAATCCTTCCCCAAAAACCTCACCGTAGAGCCGCCTACCACTCCCATGGCGTTCCCAGCCTTTGCCGGGCTGGGCCTGCACTGATTTATGTGGCAGTCCTGAGTCATACTCTCAACCTGAAAAGGATTTGCTCTCCTATATTTACAGGGGTAGTCAGGCCGGCTCTCTTGAAATACAGAAAGCCCTGTCTCCGGGCCTCAGTCCCCATGGTTTTTACTCCTTCTCTGCCTCAGTAACAAGGACATCTGGGACCTTACAACAATCCGCCAAGACTCCAGTGTTTTTATGATGGAGTCTTTCTGCAGAGGAGAGGTGAGTTTCTCTGTGTGTATCTCTTTATTTATGCCAGAGGTATTTGCAATAGATTACAGTAGCAGCGTTAGGCCCAACCTCAGCAATATCCAGCTAAGGGTTGGTGAATTGGCCTGCAACTTAACAACAGACCCAGAAACCTTAAGAAAGCCAATGGAGCATGTCCTTGTACTAACAGTGTGTTTATTTATATTTACTTGCTTACATCGCCAATGTTGCATTGTACTTTTTTTAAAGAAGTACAATGCAATTTTGGTAAACCAGTTGTTCTGTGAAACAGATAATTGAAATAATTTCTAGTCAATAATTCTAAACAAAAATTGAGAAGCATGAAAATCTAATAACATGAGAGTAAATTAAGGATTTTCAGAGTTTTTACAAATATAACTGCAAAGCAGATATCTCAGACTTTTTTTATTTCTTTTCTTTTTTTCAAAAAAGGCATATTTAGCGCTACTTACCCCTAAAGCTTGACTAAAGTTATGGTTAAACTACAGCGTTGACATGTTGGTAGCAGTGTGATTGTGGATGGTGGTGGTCCACTCTACCGCCGCGGGTCCATCCCTGCAAAGCAAACAAGCCAAGGTGACCTTTACACTCCTGGGTTTGTACATCCTGTGGTCGGCTGTCTACGTAGTGTGATGGAGAGCACAGCGGGTGGTTGAAGCAGCCTCTAAGAAAGGGATAACTTCATCTCATTTATATATATCAGTGCACATGTGTGTGCGCGTGCAGGATGTTAATACTTGAATGTATTGTATGTGTGTGCCTTTGTGTGACAGCCATGTGGTTAATGCTAAGCACCATTTGGCACCGTCTGTGCAAGAAAATGAAAGCATCAATGCTTAGGACATGCACAACGCATGTCTGAAATGATCCACGTTTTTGCACCTGACATCCTGGTTAAAGGCCCAAATTAAGAGTGTCTGCCCCTGAAAAATTTTAGATGAAATTGCCCCTACCATCTCCTGACAAGAATCTCAAATAAATGCGTCATGACCTGAGAAAGACTTCTCAGCCAATGTAAACACAGACAAAATGGCTGCTGTTGCTAAGCTAACATAGGAGAAGGAAGATGGAGCTGATGCTCATGCTGCTGCACAAAAACGTCAAATGAGAGGTTAACTCTTTATGACTTTCGAGCCAGAAGCATGCCGAGGTGTCAAATTTTGCCCATTTTGTGTTGGCAGCTAACTGCTACTGTCATTTACAGTATTTCACGTGTGCGGTAACGTGGCTGACCCATAGATCCTTGCAAGTCAAGGCTACGCCAGAACTCAGTGCTCACGTAATTTAGCTTTCCCAGCATGACGTAGTTTACAAATTTGAACAATGTAGAGAACAATAGAGTAAATAAAATAACGGCACACTCTTCAAATGACTAGTTTTCGGAAAAGAGTGACTACATAAATATTTTCCTCTCAGATTCTAAGTTTTGAGACGAGCAAATGTGACAGCCTCATACGTAAGTCTGTTTGAGTCTTTTCAGTTAAAAGCCTTCCAAGTTCGACACGAGGAAGCCTTTGGAATTTCTTTTTTATCCTTCGTTTCTTTCAGTGCAATGGACTAACTTTGGAAAATCATGTAAGAGATAGTTTTCTTTGAGATTCAAAGGGTAAGATTGGTAAGTTTTTTTTTTTCTTCCCCCAGCAAAGTTTCCCCGCTGATCAGTTTTTTTAAGTCGCGTTGAAGTGAATACATTCTGGATGTTGTACAGTAATAATGTGGTTGAGAATGTAAAAAAAAAAAAAAAAAGAAAAAGATGGAATAATGATGCATCAAAACACGATGTTATTTTATCTTTTTTGAATGAGACAGAATAATTTTACTTTTAAAATACCCGCCTTTTTTACGTAAATGTTCAAATCCAATTTTTTTTTAACATTTAATTAAATACTAAATTTGCTTAAATAAAACAACTGATCTGAACTCTATTTTCATCAAAAAGAAAGTATTTATTGTCAAGACTTTGACCACAGTTGACCTACTGATGTAAATACAATTCAAAAGACTGTTAAGGAATAAAACATTTGTGTTGTCAGGATATCTAACAGTCCTGATGAGTAGGAGGGACACTGCTGACAGTTCAATGTCCTCTCTGCAGACAAACAACAAAAACAGATGGCGGCCTTTTATTTCAGAAACTCAGAGAAGTTTCACACTTGGAGACTTGGAGTGTCTTAGAAAAACATTTGATTTGAGTCAGAGGCTTTGATCAAAAACTGGGATTCTTATTTATCATTGCATATTATTTGATTAGGATGAGAGCTTTTTATTCCAGACAATGTCCCTTGAAGAAATAAAAAAAGGACTTGAAATGAGGGAATCTCGCCAATTAGATACAACCTTGAAAGAGCGCTCTGATGGATTTCCGTGTCTTTTGAAGCCGCACACGAAGTTCTGCAAATGTTAAAAACAATGGAAAAGAAATACAAAGAGATGCATTACCAGATGGCTTTTGCAACAAACAGCTAAACTAACAAAAAGTGTGAAGAAAGTAATTACTTTTTTATTGTTTTAGCTTATTCCGTTTGTCTGACATAAGCTAAAAACTTTAATAATTCTAAAACAAGTCGCTGTGCTTTGTTGAATTTTAGATCAGATACATAATGTCCTTTAGCAGTTCTTTTAATAAATTATATTCACTCGCTCAAGGATATTTTTTTAAAAGAATAATTTTTACGATAAAATTTAGACATCCTTCATTTTTATTTATTACAAAAAAATAGTTTCTTACATGTTTTATAAAAAGGAATATAAAATATGTATTTTTTTTCACTTGTTGCTTTACATTTATTCGTTGCCATTTTCAAAAGAAATGAGAATTTATTTTTTATTTTCAAATTGGTAAAAATGCCGTTAAATTACAGCAATAACGACAAATTAATTATTTTTGCATTACTTTAATTTCACAGTAATAATAATAAATGCAGCGACAATGTAAGTACTTTTTTTTTTTTAAATAAGAGACGTTTTGGATTTGTCGGCATTTTAAAAATCAACCAGAAGAATATTTTTTCTTCTAATGTAATCTTTATATTTGTTCAAAATTTTGATTTTCTAAAAACTCAACAAAAGTACAAAAAAAAAAACAAAAGAAAAAAAGCAACTATTACATTCACAGCACCTGATACAATAAGCCGTTTAAAGGTTCTGGTTTTTAATTTGCCCCGTTTCCCTAATTCCAAAGTTTTATTTTTTTTTTTGTATGCTACTTAATTTTGTTTTCTTTGAAAAAGATATTGATTTTCTGATAGGACAATCCTACATGTACCTATGATGATGATGAAGATGAAAGTGATGCAAAGGACTACGATCTCAGCACAGTGTCTCTTAAGGACATGCATTAAAAAAAGTGAGGAACCCTCTTATATAACAGACCTCATTTTTCTTCTGTTGAGTTAAAGTTATTCACCTAAAAGTTCTGGTAACATATCTCTTTGAATGCACCTTAATTTAGCCCAGCCATAATTCTGGTGTACAAAAGACACATGTCAGAGTCACACCGCTGATGAGAAATAAATAGGAAAAAGGGTTCTGTGGATGTTCTTCAAAGGAGCTCCAATTTCACACCGTCAAATAAAAGCACCCTTATAGGCACATGAGTGATAATCCTGCTTTTTGGACTTAAAGCTTTTTCTTTGACATAGTTACATTTCAGTCATTCTGATATATTTATTAAGATTATTTTGGGTTAAGATTTAAAGAATGCGGACAATGTGTTTTTGTGGATCAAAGAGGATAGTTTTTTTTTCCACATTTAGGTATATTTAGAGGACTTCTTGCATTATAATAAATCTGATCATTTACTTCCTGTTAAATTTGCTTTTAACATTTGACACATCTCAGCTGTCTGACCTTAACAGTGCTTTGCATGCCTCTAAGTTGCTACCAAAGGCACAAGAGACAAACACTTGATGTAGGACACATTTGCATGTTGCTGCAAGAGAATATATCAACTGGAAAGCCTCTGAAGTCCAGATTTTGTAACTGATGGAGGGAAAAAAACTTTAGAAGATGCTGAGAGTATCCAAAACTTCCTCTTTCTTCTTGAACGATAAATCCATCTAGTTTTAAGCCTTTAGAATATCAAATGCAATTATATTAACAAGTAGTATTATTTCTTGTTTCAAATTTACTCACTTACACTTGATGTTCTCATAATTAAGACTTGACCTGCATCATGTAACCAGGAGGTTGACTGCCAACGTCCTGCAGCTTGTTTTCTGTGACATCTCATTGATTGTCAGCCCCAATGTGTCTGTATTAGTTTCCATGCACTCCTGACATGCACTCTGTAGTAACAGAAGTGACAGCCCTTATCCCTCCTTTGTGCGCCCCTTCATACTGAGACTCAGATTTTAGGGACGGACAGCTCAGGACAGGACAACTGCATCAATGCTGACTGAGCCTGAGCCACAGTTGCAGCAGAAGGCCACACTCTGCTGAAACTTTCTTGGACTCGACAGTTTGTGCTTGAGAAAAACAGCTGATCCTTCTTATGCTACACAACTTGGTTTTTGGCTTAGCAAAAGTGAGCAGAGTTACCTGTGGAGTGTGTAAAGTCTCGACCAGATTACAGCGTTAAGAGTCCGTGAACCAAAATCCCTATTTAGTGTTTTAAATGTTCCTAAATATGGCGGGTATGCAACAAAATCACCACAGTTTCAAAGTGTGTGGTTAAATAATGAAAGAACATGATAATAAAAAATTCATACATTGTAAATAAGATGCTTTTACCGTCAAAATATGTAGGCCAGATTCTTTACAGCAAACAGAGAAGTTTCCTCCTAGGCAGCACCAGGAGGTGCTGTAAAGCAGTTAGCCTTTGATAGAACAGCAGCAGCAAAAACAAACATGGCTGACGATGGCGCCGCGGCCGACGGTGGAGCAGGCTGGTTCAGAGAGTCGATGAGAGATTAAGACTTGAATTTTTTGAGCCCGGAGCGTCAATATCAAACAAGATCCCCCTCCATGCCCAGTTACCTGGGGCTCGGAAAGGAAATGCACCCTGCCATGGTCTCGGCTCCCAGATTTAAAGGCTTGTTGAAAAAAGTAGAGCGCCGACGTTAGCATGGTAGCTATGAAGCATTGAGCAATGCGTAGCACCCTGCAATGCGACATGCTGTAATCAATGCGAAGGTGGGTCTTTTTCTAAGTAGGCAATCTGAAAATAACTAGGCACCTATGCTGTTCAGTTTATGTCTATATTTTTGCAAATTATAATTTTATGGGAAAAATGCCCACTTTACTTAATTCTGTTTTTGCTTGAAAAGAAAGAAAAGTGCAGCACTATCTCTTGAGCAGGCAGCTCAAAGAAGTTTCAAACCATTTCTGTGCATCCATCTGTTCAACTAATCGCTACAAACTTTGGCTTTTAAGTGACAGCATGTGAAAAGAATGGGTTTTGTTCGGAAATAGCGAGCTGATTGAGTCAGGAAACGGTCCATTGAGTCTCAGATTAGGTTCTGCAGAAAGTGATAAACTAAAAGACAAAGTGAGGCGACCTGGTCCTCCTTCGTCCTCATCTGAAGTGCTAAACCTCACCCTGACTTTGTAACGCCTTGGCTTGTGAGTCACAACTGTGAAGATATAATGTTATTTAAACCCAATCTGTCACCAAATGGAGCGAAAGAGAAAAAATGCTTGCCAAGTGCACAAATCTAACATCACCACTTATGAGACACACACTCCCACGCAGACGGACATGCACACAATTCCCTATCTCTGTCATTATATGGGCAAAATCAGCAATTAATCATAAAAAAGTGAATTTATGGAGTTGTCGTTATCACAATCACTTCCAAAGGTCAGGCCAGGGATAATTGACAGAAGCATCAACACTTATTATGACACAATTATGTAAAATAATTAGTTTCAAATGGTAATAAAGAAAAATCTAAAAATATTTTGTTAATTTGATAACATACTGTAATGAATAATTTCCCGCTGATAGATATTATGCCATCCCTCTTGGGTCTTAGCTGTTGCCTCAGTGCGTGACCCATTTCGCCTTTTAAACGAACCAGAAAGATTGCTAATTTTGACAGCTCAATTCACGCGTAACCAACCCTTAACAAGTCTGCCACCCTCTGCAGCAATATTGAAATTCCAAGTGACAGACAAGAAGCGACGGCACGGCGGTGCCCTGATGGTGCCCAGGTGGTGCTTGTGGTTTCTGAAAATGCATGCTGCCACATGTTCATGATGGATGGATGGCCGTGATCCACAGAAAAGTTACTTTTGACATTTTTGACTACCGTAATAGCAGTGGGACAATCACAGATTTCGTTTCCTTAAGTGGAATTAGCAAAGCGACAGTGGAAGAATATTCTCTGGTGAAAGATCTGAAGTTCCCGAATAAACATTTATTATTAGGCGATTATGACCAATAATGATAATCAAAATTCAGAAAAGTTTGAATTTATGTGGTAAAGGCACTTGAAAGTGCGATCTTCCGTGATGTATTTTTTATCAACAAATGTGTCAAATTAAAAACATTTTAAAAACTATTTACTACAGCTGTCACTGATGTTCAAGGCCAAAGCAAACAAATTTAAAGGGGCAAAAAAGTACATATAAAGTTTTTGGAAATTGATGTGAGTGACACTGATGTCTGTCTGTGTGGTTCATCAGCAACAAATTCCTCTTTATGATTATATTTTAGCCTTTGGAGATATGCAGGATAAAAAAGCAAAAAATCTTGAAACTAGAAAAAGACAATGGTCAAAAATATATTTTTACTTTTAATACATGACTGAGATTTAATATTATTTCTAGAGAGGGTTTAATATCAGTTATAAAAAATATTTGGACATTTTTTTTATTATTTTAAAAAATTAGTTTTTTGTTGTAATAATCTAAAAAATATTCTAACCTTGCGACCTCCTCATAGGAGGTTAATGCATTGTGATGTGTTACTTTTTGTCACATTGATCAAATAGGCAACCTGCAAAACAGACGAAATTACCAACTTAAGAAAACTAAAAATATATCACTCTGGCTTCTAATTGAAACTGCTGAGAGAGGTGGTTTTTTGCAACCACAAGCCATATTAAGTGCCACATCAACATGGCTGCTGGACTTGGAAGAAGAATAATAACAAAAAAGAAAAATATTATATTTTGCCAATTGAATTTGGCAAAGAATGCGGGCAGTGCATATAGCGGTGGGCTGCTCTATAAAGACATCTGCTGATTGCACAGTTTGGGGAGGCCTGGTAGAGCAGAGCCTGGCAGGGAAAAGTGTAAAGCGATTGAGACCAGGCGACAACTGCTGAAAGAACTCAGCACTCGGACGCTCACAGCCAGTTGCCTTGCACGTGAAGTTATGAAGTTGTAAAAGCGGTGCGTTGCCTCTTCTGTGTTTCACGCTACACGAGAACCTGGACAGCACAGTGGCAGAATAATTTTAGGCTGCCAAAATCCAAGTCAAGGGTTTTCACATAGTTTTGTTCAAGCCCGTGACCTGGCAGGTACACCAAATATCCAACATAAATTGGGTTGAATTTTTCTGTGTCAATGCTAAGTGTTACCAAAAAAAAGTTGAAAAAGGTCTGCACTCTAATGGTGCAATTTTGAACACACTCCCCACGCAAGAATCGCATGTGCTGCATTCACCTTCCAAAGAGTGTTGGCAAACCGAAGTCTGTCTGGCCTAATAGGGACATACCTGTAGGTAGGTCTGACCACATGTATCCCAGCAGGGTGTAGAGTCAGCGCTTCGGGACGCGGTTGGAGAAGGAGGCCCGCTTCAAGCGTCCCCAACACTGTTAATATCTTTCTCCTGTCACAGTAAGACCAACCCTGAGAGACACGAAACAAAGCCTTCAGAGCCTCTCACCCAACAGGACCTGCTCCGTGCACAGGCAACGCCTACGCCCTTCTGCCACACTACTTTTGGATTCACTATTGAATCATTAATGCGACCGACACTCATGTGATTTGCTCAGCGACCTGTCATGCATGTTATGCCATGTTTCGTAGAAATGCAGCTCAATGTATGCACATAAATGTGGCAGTAGTTGTAACGCTTAAGTAGAAGTCGTTCAACAACATCTATAGCACAATTAAAAACATCCAAACTGCAGGTATATCTGTGAAATTGCAGCAGAGAAAAAGTTTCATCGAAAATGAGCTTTTTTGGTATATCTCTCTCGTTAGCTACACACTGGGCAAATAACTTACTTACAGGCTCGGAGGAGAAAACAGACGGACTGGAGAGAGTCAACTGTCTGTTCTTTCATCTTTTTTCTTTTATCAGATGTCTATAAATATTGGCTGGAACTACCTTTTCTCAATGGGTTTCAGGTGTGTTTGTTCAGCAAGAGTGCTCAGTTATTTTGGAGTTCAAAATAATGTTTTTTTATTTGCAATTTGGCAAAAGTGAATACCTTTTCTCCAGAAACAATGAGATAAATGGTGCTGTTAGATTGTGCCTGACTCAAGTACAATCAGTTTTGAACTGACATGTTTACATAGAGCTTAGATTTCATCAGGACATCTGAGGGCATCTGGTTCTGCCTCCGCTGTGCCACATGTGTCCGTCTGATCACGTTCACTCGATGTGTCGTATGTGTGTTTTCTCCACGTCTCCTTGCTCCCCCTGACCTCTCTCCCAGGCTCTCCCTTCTTCTTTGTTGTTCAGGTCAGAGTCCATGCACTCACTCCTTGCAGCCACATGGCCACGTTGTGGTATGCAGTTACCCAGACACAGGTAAGTCTGGTTCAGGTGCACCCCACAGTGATCCTGACCCACTCTTCTTCACCCCACAGCTCTCAGGGCCCAGCAGGGTCCCAGCAGAGGTCACAAGAGGCCTCAGCATCCCAGGGATGAGACTCCAGACTTGCATGAAGAGGAGCGTTTGATGTACCTCTGTCCTCAGCTATGTTACAATGCTAATATGGCTTTAATCAGCTCCAGCAGTTGCTACTTCCTTGTTGACAGGCCAAGGCAAACTCCACTGTCCAAGTAATATCTTATTGGTGATAGCCAATTTATTGTCAGCTTGCAATGTTTGTTCTTTTTAAAGTAAGGTGTTACAACTTTAGGCAGAAGAATCACTGTTTACCAAGCTAATTAGCTGTGAAATGACTGAAGGCAAGATCTGAATGAAAAAAAAAGAAGCTAACAGCACCATAAAGTCCACAGCGTGTTTCCAAATACGTTATGCAAATATGTCTCCAAGTGCTAATACATGCCCATTATTACCAGCTGTGATTGCTGAGCTGCTATTGTTTTTCACTTTGTGAGTGTGAGTGTTTGTGTGTCATCTACAATACCTTGGCAGCTGTTTTTACGAGGCCTTGTAAAAGTATTCAAACCTCTTGTATTTTACATATTGACAAGAAGTGGTATTTATTTGTATTTAGCCTCCAGTTCTCTGTTTCCCCTAAATTAAACCCCTCGCTGCCAATTGTAGTAATATTTGATCTTACTATGAAAACATCTTGAAACATAGTGGTTGCTGTATCATGCTGTGCACAATCATTTCTTTAACAGGGGTGTGGGAGATGTTCAGAGTTGATAGTGGCTGCAAAGATGCATTAAAGCCAGAAGGGGAATGTTTGGAAACAATTTTCAAGGTTTAGAATGGTCCAATCAAAGTACAGACCTAAATCTTAATCTGTGGAAGACTTAAAAGTTTGCCTTTGTGGATGCTTGAGCTATTTGGCAAAGAAGCATGGGCAAAAGGAAACTATGAGTCCTTTTAGTTTCACTTCACGGTTATGCGTTACTTTGTGTTAGTCATCCCAATGAAATATGTCAACATTTATGTGAAGAAGTCCAAGTTATATGAATAATGCAATACATCTATATACTTTTTTTATATTGTGGTATTGCAAAACAATCTTGTAAATCTCACTAATATACTAGGTGCTATTAGCGATAGCACCTTGTGAGTTGGAGGATCAACATGTACCAAGTCATTTTGGACTAAGGTTTCTATTAGTCCCATATCTGTCTGTAATGACAGGCGGCATGGTCCACCAGGTACCGATAAGAGTGCCACCCTCTACTCCTAATCTACTTCTCCACTTTGCTCAAAGACAATTTAACGACTGGAAATTGCGCCCTGAGGAGTGACAGCTAAAACTGATATTAGAGTCAATGAGTGCACCTTGCTCCCAGTTCTTTTTTGGCACTCCCAAGTTGGAAGACCTTTCCTTAAAATTGCACCAAAGATAAAAAAGAGAGTTTTCTCAGCTTGCTATGGCATACTAATACCCTGGACTCATTAAATTAATGGGGCCAGATTCCTCTTACAGGATGTGCTCTGATGCCCTTTGAGTTTGCCGGGGCTAGAGGGTGTGCAACACTTTGAAAAGCCCTGACCGGCATATTGAACATGCTTTAATAGAACCCTTTTGAGACTCCTGGTAGGATGCTCAGTAACTCTTTGCCTTTAAGTTCCCGCACATCTCTGAGTGATCTCGTCAGATAGCCGCTCTATCCTCGGATTCGGGCCTGGAGAGGGGGAGGGGAACAGTTGGCGTTAAATGAGGCCAGAGGTGCCTGTATCTCAGCAGAGGCCATTCTTTCCTGGAGATGTGTATCTTTGAGACATAGTGCTGAGCAAGCTTTGAAGTGGAAAGTTGCTCTGTGTAAAAAGTGTGAAACAGGAGGCTTATAGTCCGGCCTTGTTTCCCTTCACCGGCGAGAGAGCCTGGCTTTTCACTGGACAGTCCACCCAGGCTTGATTTAATTATTCCATTCATCCAACCACTGACAGGGTAGATTTAACCCCTCAAATGGCCATTAAAAATGTCACTGCGTATTTAATGGGAAGTCGCTCTGAAGCACGCCATGATTTAGACAAGCTGCTGCAATTTAGAAAATTTATTTTAAGAGCCAGAGCAGACTATCAAGGAGTAAAGGGCGAAGGGAAGGTATTGTTTTATCAGCACTGTAATAAAATGGTTATAATTTAATATAATAGAAATGGAATATTAAAATGATTTTGCATATCTGCCCAACAGCAAAAAGATCACTTGATAAGAAAAGAAAGCTGGTGAACCTCCATTTGCATGACAAAAAAGCCTCTTAAGAGGGCTAATACATCACACTCATGTTATCACAATCAGAGAATCAGATATCCAGATAGAGAGCAATTAAAATTTTAAGATTTCATGATTTGAATCAATGAAGGTTTACTAATCTGTTTGAATTATATTGATAAAGCACAAAAGTAACAATCAGCTGAAACCAAGTGGCATTCTGCTGAGATGTAAGAACATTTTGATGAAACGATTATCTCTCGCTCGGTTCCTCTCTGTCATCTCGAACAACATGAAACAGAAAAACATTCCTGTCTCGATGACACTTGGACACAGATCCGAAGTAAGTAAGAAACGGGATTCATAGCAGCGGGCTGAAACACAGACTAAAAGCAGTCAAGCGGCTGGTGTCTACAGCAGGATGCTGACAGACAGATGCCAGACAATGAGGTTCGAACAGTTCAACTCAGTTTGCCAAAACAGATCCCATCGAGCAAAATATGGCTGACTCAGGCGCACTGCGGAGCAAGCACCTAATTTCTAAACTACATCTCGCTCCGTTTTTATGGATGTCTTTGCATGTGACAGACGACACATCGTACCTCTTATGGAAATTGTCGCTGGGCAATTGTACGATTTACACAGTCAGATTTGGCAGTAATGATTTCATGGAGCCTTTGATTTTTACCTCGATCACCATGGTTGCAACATTGCTGGATATTGCTCCTCATTAGCCATTCCATAAGCAGAGAGCCATGCACTGTTGTAGCGACTGATAACTTACATGCCTCCCACTCTTAAAGTGTGCTGGTAATTTATTCTCTCCCCCAGCGCTCATCATCCTGATGCAACTCTCACACTGACAGGAATCCATCTCTGTGTACCTGGCAGCAAAGTGGGTGAGGGTTGACTCAAAATCAAAATGAAGACTTGTTACTGAGAAACTCTTAATAGCATTTTATTCCCAGCTGAATATTTTGAGAGGACCGAAAGCGGTTGGATTTTACTCGATTTACAGTATGAGCTACCATCCCAGCCAGTCCATAATTCTCGTCGAGTTTAAAATATTTCATGAGAGAAGGTGAAATCAGTTCAGTGTTTTTGATCCTTATATAAGCCACCATCATCTGCCAGGTTTTTTTTCTTTCTCAGGGTATGGCTTAAGCACTTCAAAGTTAGGTACTACATAGAGAGCGTGATTCATTTGGCAGCTCGCATTGTCCAGACTCAAAAAAACCCAAAGCTGGCCAGAGACTTACTTCAGAGGAGAGAAAGAATTTGGCTTGAGCTTAAGGCCGCCCATCCCCATCAAGAGATGGGCGCTTTTTGTCATCTTATCGCAGCCTTAGCGCATTGCTGTGGTGACTATGTGCTTCACAGGTGGGAGCCTGCCTCTGTCAAATGAGCGAGTTCACTAAGGACGGGATTTGCCGCTGTTATTTTTCTATTAGAGGAGAATTATGCTAAGCCTTCAGAGGCCATCTTTGTGTTGCTATGGCAGCCCATATTTCCTACCGGGTTGCGACCTTGAATGACTACAGTGCAAAGCCAAGAGGGCCGAAAACCCTTTGAGGATTAGAAGCAGTGCCTCATAGTTATGCAAAACACCTCTGATATGATTGAACTTTGAATGGATGAATGACAAAGTTTATTGAGATTGCCTCTCCTTTCTTCTGATCATTGTCACTTGATTATTTTCCATCACTTGGCTTTGAATGCAGGTTTTCAAATGACAAATATTAGATTTTTCATGTCCAACATCTTCATGTATGCAGTGGTTGAAATGTTTGACACAATAACAAAAATAATAATAATAATTTACCAAATCATTGGCATTTTAGGTCTTACACATTCCCCATTACCCTAAAATTTTGCAGGCATCGCTGCCAAAGTGCATATTTATTTAAGGGTTACTGAAATATACAAAAACAAACAACTCCACAGCGCCCCCTTGTAATAAAAAAGTAAAATAAAAGCTTACTTGTCAGCTTGCTTAAACATAGTGGTGGGACATTTAGGACACAGATATACATTTTTATGTGCAAACATAATTCTCTTGAAGCTGTATCCTCCAAAAAAACATTAATAATTAGAAGTTATTGTGACTGAAATTGATGCATGAACTGATAAAACTTTTTAAGAGTTTATAAAGTTATTTAATTTTCAGGATTGAATTTATATTTCATCATTTGGCCAAAATGTGTTTAATGATGATTCAACCACATCACAGAAATGTTCTAAATCGTCCTTAAAAATATCTTTCTTGCAGCTACTTCCTGCCACAAATAAAATGGCGGCCATTTTGAGTTTAATTTGATGCAATTCATCATGATCACTTTCTTAAAATCAATGCACATGCATGAAATTATTTTTCCCTACATTGAGAAAGTACTTGAGCTTTACAGTGGATTTTAGAGATTTCCATGTCAGACCTTCTGTCTGAAACTCTTTTCATCCTTATGCTATTTTTATTTAAAATTTATTTTTCATCAATTATACAGACTGCTTCTGAAATGTACACATTGAGGAATAGATTAAATTCCAGGTAACATGAAACAAAACCCTATAAAAGAAATCTTAGGTAAGACATTGGTATGTCAAACTCTCTTGCAGTCATGTACTGCAACAAACCGGAAGTCAGCCATTTTGGATCAAAGTTACCATTAATTGTTGTGACTAACTTAATATTCAGCTTAATAATAAATGTTATATAAATAG